GTTCAGCAGAGTAAGGTTTCTTGCTTATAAGGAAGATTTATTCTGGTTTATGGCTTCTGTAGTTGATAGTTAATATTTAGATTTGCAATTAAATAGGCATATCCAAATGCAATGCACATTAAAGCAGGAGTACAGTGAGCTTACAGAGGATGTCTTTGGAGCTTTTTCTTCACAGTTATTTAGAGCGAAATCTTGCTTCCTTTTTTTTTGCCAGCTGTGTAGAGTTTTGGAGATTTAGGTAATTATATCCCTTCTGAAATTACAACTGTGGCAGAACTGACTTTCCACGCTTTTGTGGATGAAATTGGAAAGCAACTGAAATGTTTTTAAAATCACTTAGTGGGTTGTGTAATATTTCTGTTGTACTTAGCCCAGTAGCCAAGTTTTTAAATCCCAAGTTCACAGCCTTAAGAAGTGAGTAGTCACATTATTATGCTGCTCAGGCACCTTTTTTGAAATTTGCTTTGGATGTTGCTGCAGCCAGGCTGATAACCCTGAAGTTTTTTTGCAGCTCCCTTTTTTTTTTTTTTTTTTTTTTTTTGTTTTTTTTTTTTTTTGTGTGGAAACTTTAGGATGAGTATGTCTAGATACACTCTGTTTTGGATGTATAGCTAGCTTAGGTAATCATCAAGATGTCTGTATTGCCTGTTCTTATGGACTAAATTTGGTCAAGGAGCATCATATGCTTGGTTAGTTTTCTCATGGTGTTAAATGAGCTGAGAAAATGATTGCTTTGTGCTCTGAAATTTCCTTTATAACAATGCATTTCTCACAAGGTGCCTATTTGTGATGGCAAATGCCTGAGAAATTCAAGTGTAATAAATGCTTTTCATTGGTATTTTGCATCAGCTTTAGATGTAGTTTGAGGTGGAATAAAAGAGGTGTTTGCTGTTTTCCTGCATACTGGTATCAAATTGATTTGGACCTGATCTCTCTGCTCTTTTTCTGTTTACTGTACCTATCATGACATAGGGTGGCACCAATGTGGTTATTTACCTTTGTCTGCCACATCATCATTAGGAGAGGGCACTAGTCTCCTCCAAGGGCTGTTCTCATAGTTTGTGTTCATCCTGGGAAGGAAGTAGCAGGGGTATGCATTCAGGGCTGGGTTTGCAGGAGTGCATGTGTAGGACCATCTGTGTAGCTGCAGTGTTAGATGCAGTTTTCTAAGGGATTTGACCAAGGTGGAGCAGGAAGTTGATGCCAGAACCACGATGGGAACATGAGGATTTCTGACTTGTGCTATGCTTGAAACATTCCTCCAGCTCCGAAGGACCTGGAATCACCTTATGTGTTTTTCTCTAAGTAGGCAATTAGATAAAATTATAAACCTATTGCATAAACATTGCAAGTAAAAGCACAATCTCAACATTTTCTCTTTGTAAATCAAAACTTGACCCAGTAACTGCTAACCACCTATAATTTTTAAGCAGTTTGGATGGGGTATAGCTTGTATCTGATTTGGTGATTGTTAAATGTTTAATTCCATAATGTAACACTTCAGGAAGTGCCTTGGTTTCTCATTTCCCAACATGACAAAATTGCCTTTGAAAACAGTACACAAATGCCTGACCAAAGCCCTGCTGAGCATTTTACCCAATAATATCTCTAGTGCTGTGCTTGTTGTGAATGCACAATATGCTATATTGTCAGGCTACAAACTAAAGATGGAGTAGATCTGTCGCTAGCAGGATGCTATTCCCTGTGTTTTTTCTGTTGTAATGCAAAGATAAACATGGCTGACACTGACTGATGTTAACTTTGCATGTGCACTCATTCAGAGGAGTCTATGCCTGTTTGTTTTGCATGTTTCAGAAATACGGCTACACGCACCTTTCTGCTGGTGACCTCCTTCGAGATGAACGAAAAAGGCCAGGCTCACAGTATGGAGAACTCATTGAGAACTACATTAAGGAGGGGGAAATTGTACCGGTTGAAATAACAATCAGCTTAATCAAGAGGGTAAGGAAAGGGCTATTTCCTACTGGTTCACTCCTGCAGACTAAACAACAAAGCAGTGGCTGCGTTCTAGAAGAACTGTGTTTCCTCTGGTGTGAGTAGTATGAAATGGCAGGCACATAGGTGCACATCATGTACTGGGCTTCTGTTAGCAATTACTCATGTTTCTTTCTGACCAGTTGGAGGGCAATTGGTGATGGCTTCTGATACCTGGGGATATGTGAGAATGGATAATTTTAATTTAATTTTATTATTTTAGTAGCTCTAGGGAAATCAGTGAGACTCTGTGTTTCTCATTTCCCTTAACTAGCTTTTGCACCTCTTGGTCAGCACAGTTGTATTTGACTGGAGAGTGGAGGCCTTAAAGGCACTACATCTCTGTAAGTTTTATCAGAGATGGCCAGGTGGAGAAGAGCACCTGCTAGTGTTCCTGTGGCAGGATTAACTCCAGCCCTTATCCTTATTATGTGCCCAGGAAAACAACTGGAGTATCTTCTTGAAGACAGAAAAGGCTTCTGTTGCTCATGGCACTAAACTTATCTGTAGTTTTCCTATTAGAATTAAGTCTAGATCAAGGATGTTTTGGCATCTTACTGTGTAACAGCACTTTCCAGTGTCTTGTAGAAAATTGAGTTTAAAACTGGGGTTGGGTGTTATGAGATAGAGCTTTATGACATAGTGAATTAAGTTTGAAAGAAAGCTATATTGGTGCACCAGTGAATTAATTAGCATGCATTGAAAGTGAAACAAGAATACATCTTGTAAATCTGCAGTGATCCTAAAATAACTGCTTCTCAACTTACCATGTCAACATTTTGGGGGTAATTTAATAAATAGGTTAATGGTTGTATGTGCAGGAGTATCAGGAATTGAATTCTCTTTTATCAGGCTATGGATCAAACAATGGCTGCCAATTCCCAGAAGAACAAGTTCTTAATTGATGGATTTCCCAGGAATGAAGATAATCTTCAAGGTTGGAATAAGACTATGGATGGAAAGGCGGATGTTTCTTTTGTTCTCTTTTTCGATTGTGACAATGAGGTAATGAAGTGTGTTATTCTTTAACTTCCTTTCTTGCTATACTGTTGGAATCATTCAAGAACAAGAAAGCTGTCAGGTAGTGAATGGACTAGTGTGAGAGTAGAAGGGAAACAGTCTGTGAGTTTCAAGGATTTTTTTGGCAACTTGTTTTTGCAGGTGAAAAACCATATGGTTTTGAAATGGCAGCTAATATGTATGATATAATCATGTGCTAATAAATTATATTGAACAAGTTCTTCAGGCAGTTGCATTCTTCAGGCAAATTTATAAAAACTTTAAATACATTGTACAAAATTACTTGGTTAATTTTCAGAAAGCATTATGCTGCTTATTCTTAGTAACTGTTTAGTCTAAAATTAACTTGATAGCAATGCCTGCTTTAATTCTAATATGCTGGCAGGAGCAGTCCTCATTTTCACAGTTGTGAGCTGTGCTATAGGATAGCCAGTAATCAACACGTTATTCAGCAAGTCATTAGATTACAAGGGCATTTTGACAGTGATACATTATATTCATTTAACAAGTGCCATGATATGCTATTTTCTTAATATGTCAGTGCCCTTGAGACGTAGAAACTGATATGAGAATCCCAGCACCTTAAGCTGACTTTCTTCCTTTTACCCTTTCCCCCAATTTCCTGAGAAATTGTTACTTTTTTTTTTTTTTACTAGATTTCAGTTCTTTTTAAATCTCAACAAGTGAGGGATTATTTTTTTTCTATTTAAAAACCTAAGTAAGATTAAATGAATTTTTTCACTTAGTGGAGTGTTAATTTTGGGGTTCTAACTTTTTTACTAGATCTAACAATAGACAACAATGCTTACATGATCTTCTGGATTTTTTTATTTTTTTTTTACTGTGAGTGTACTTTGTAGGAAACACTAATTTTTAACCATTGTCTTCATGCATGAATAGGATAAAAGTATTCATGAGTGTACATGTGTCAGTGTTGCTTACTTCAGGTTTCAGAACTTCAAGTTCATTGGGCAGCTTTTAACTATGGTTGGTTCTTCAGTTTTTACATAGATTTTTGAAGTCTTCATTATAGCAATGTCAAGTAAGAACTTTTTAACTTACAGTAATTTAATATATAGCTTTATGAAATTCTTGGGAGAATATACAGTGACATTTTTTCAGTGCAGGCATACATTAGTAGTCTAATTTGACATGCTGCTTTTCAGAAAGCCTGAACACATCCTTGAAAATCAGTTAATTTTCTTCTTTTAAATGTCTCAAATTGGAGACCCAGTCGAACCACTGAGCTTGATGTTGTTTTTACTTCCACTGATCCCAATCCCACCTTAAGAGCCCCCATTTTAATAATGAAGAAGTGTAAAGCTATCCCTTTTTCTCTGGAAGAATCTAACGTTCCATGTGAACTCTGGTTACATCCACCAGATCTGGGCAGTATTTTGTGTGTCCTATTTGTATTTTTCAGGGTTTTTGTTTTATTCCTGCTTTCAAGATTGTGTTCCTGGTTGTGATCATCCTTTTGATGTCTTTTGTAGATATGTGTTGGCCGGTGTCTTGAAAGAGGCAAAAGCAGTGGTAGGAGCGATGATAATCGGGAGAGTCTGGAAAAGAGGTATTATCTTCAAAACTTTTCCATTCCCTTCTATTTATATTTTACTGTATAATGCTTTTTTCCCCCCTGTGCTTTCTCTTAGAATTCATACATATCTGCAGTCTACTAAGCCTATAATAGATTTGTATGAGAGAATGGGGAAAGTCAGAAAAGTGGATGCCTCTAAATCTGTTGATGAAGTAAGTACGTAAGTCAAAAAAGCGCGGGGTTGACAGTGGCAGGGTGCATACTTTTGGCATTCTTCTGGCGGGTGTTACTGAGGGAGGTTGTGGAACTCTCATTTCGACTCTTGAAGAACTGATTAAAATGTGAATAACTTTAAGAAATCAATTAGTTCTGCTTGAACATGAGCTGGACTAAACACACTTTCTGCGTTTAACAACGTCTTATCTTTTTCCCTTTCATGAGCTTTTGCTTTTCTGAAGTAATATTGCTCGTCTGTCTCAGTTTCTCAGGATCGATGCTAATTTCACTATTAAAGAATTACTGGGAATGTTCTAAGAAAAACCTATGTATTTTTAAAAATACTGTCAATTATGTGCACTGGTTTAACTTAAAGTAACTGCTTAACTGACACTTCAGAAAATTAATATTCTTCCCTCTCTTTTTAGGTTTTTGAAAAAGTTGTACAAATTTTCGACAAAGAAGGCTAATTCCCAGCTTGAAAGTTCATTTAAACTTGTGCTTGAATCTTGCTTGAATAGCTGCTACTGCAGTCCATTCTTTGTAATTGTTTTAAAAATTTTATTGTTTTCCACATATTTACTGATGATTGGAAAAGCAATTAATTACCAATGGATCTGTTTTTTAAATAGGAACTCATTTCTTGTGGCTATAGTATATAAATTTCAGGGTTATCTATTAGTACAAGTTCAGTTACTCAGATGGCAAAACCACAGTTAAAACATCTCTCTGAAGAGACTATTTATTGTCACAGTTCTGTGCCTGTCATGGGCAGTCTTTATTCCTTATTGCCATACACCTATTTATTTATTTTAAGGATCAACTAAACAGCAGCATTAAGAAATGAGACCTGTGCCCTTGTTTGTTTTTTGGATGCTTGGACCAAATTTAGCAGGTATTTTTTTTGGAGTATAATTTCATCACAAAGTTCCCTGTTATCCCCAAACCTGAATTCTGTAAGTCAAGCTACAGTTAGTATGAGAATTTATCTTAGCAGTTCTCACAAAATTATTTAATATGCTGTTCAGCAATACACATATGAAGTACTCCATGGAAAGTGGTGCTTTCTTATGACTCTGGATGTAAACTGTCTTCTAAGGTCCTGAGGACCTGGATGACATGGCCCTGGGCTTTACCTTGTCTTCATTTGCAAAAGGTTAAGAATATAATTTCTAAGTCAGGTCAGTATTTCCATACTCATTTATTTTAAATGATAGTTATATTCCTAATTACAGCATGGTCTTCAGAAGGTGGCAAAACTCTTAAATAGTGTACAATAAGCAGAATCTTCTAGCAGTTCTTTCTTTTGTATCAAGTGGAAGAGATTTTCTCTATTATTATTATTATTATTGAAATACTGTGTTACTGAGTGCTTTAAGGTTTGTTACCTGGGGAAATATTTTTATGGTTAAACTAGTGAATTTTTTCCCCTAAAATTGTATCATTTTAAGAGCTGTTTGTTTGGAAAGATTGTAAATCATTGCACTTCTGTTATGATACGGTCAGCTGAAGGGAAGATACCTGCAGAGTAAGTTCCTTTCCCTTAAATAAATTGGGTCCTGCTTCATCGTGTTCTCTTGAATTAGCCAAGTACAGTCCGTAGCAATAGTTGGGATAAGCAGATAAGTAGTTGAAACAAACTGGTTTAAATGTTTGCACAGATGTGGTGTAATTCTGCCTTTTGTTTAAAGTAACCTTTTTTCTCCCCTATATAGTATGCATAGATCTGTGGGGGCCCAGCCATGCATTCCTTGCATGCCCTAAGCTTTCACTGAAGAAGGCTCCAGAGGCTTGAAGATGAGTATTTTAACTGATTCTAGTGATAGAGTGGTTCTTCCTACATTAACTGACACTGTAATTGGTTTGTGATACACTAATGGATGTTGCAAATTACAGGGAATCACAATTTGGATAACTTGAGGTTTGGCTTTTCCTTATTGGTGACTTTCTCTCTCTGTTTAGGAAAAGCTTTAAATTAAGCCTAGCTGTTAATTAGAATCAGACGTGGTGGTCCTAATCCTGCAATCTGATCTGTGTAGGCAGACTTGCATTTGCATGAATCCTCAGCTCAAGGTTCTTGAGGCTGCTGGGCTGGGGAAGAGATGGGTACAGAAACAAAGGGTAAACTGCGGTATCCTTCCCAGTATGGTAGGAGTTCAAACAATGGACTGAGCACAAATAACTGTTTACTACTGCAGAATATGTGGACCATGACTACTTTTGTGAGTGTGGGAGGCTAAAGCTTTCGCTTTATGAATTTCCCCTTAAAAAAACCCAAGAAATCATGGAATTTAATTCTTACCATATAAGTATGCTGACATAGGATAGGATCCAGCAAAACTGCATGTTGTGGTGTGAAGGTTAGAATTAGGGCTTTCCCAAAAAGACTTCAAATGGGATTCTTTAATCTAATTAGAGAGATTTAATTATCTTTTGTTTCTAAGTTACTGGTTTTTACAAGTTCTGTTCAGAATAAAGTATCTGTTTTCTCTCATCATATACTTTTCTGTTTAAGTACTGAAACAAAGGGGAAAAAAAACTTTGGAGAAAGTTTCTAGGAAAAAACCCGATGTTTTTGGCAATATTGACTTTGGAGTGGATTGTAATGTTGTCTGTGCAAAGACTAGATTTTTTTTTTGTCATTTTATTTATTGAAAATGCCATTAAATGTGTTACCAATTCTTTCAAGTTGGGCTTCCGATTGAAATAAAGATTAAAGGCAATATGCCAACGTGTTGTGTCTGTTTAGCAGCAAAACTGTACAAAGAATTTGAGGAGATCCAATAAACTTTGTTCTGTGGCTTCAGATGAGTATTTCTGCTTACAGTTATCTGTCACAAGGAATATTTTAGATATATAAATGTATATAAAGTGGGTATTTATTAGTGTTAGATACTTTGCATGGCTGCATATGCACAGGTAGGTTTAGAAACGTTCAGTTTTCACCATCAAAACTGAAGTCCTGAAGACCCTGTTAGGCACAGGGTAAGTTCAAGCAAATGCCTGAGGAATTGGTACCTTTTCTTGGTTATATAGGTCTACCAAATTACTCATTGTATAGTTGTGCAGTGGTAATTCATTATTTGGCACATCTATAAAAGAAAGGGGTCTTGAAGCAGGCGAGGAAACACAAACCTAATGCACAGCTGCTGTTGGAGATGTTGTTTTGTCTTGATTTCTCATGCTTCCTTGCTCAGTCACCAGCTGATTTCCTGAATGCCATTCTGCTGCTTGGCAGCACGTGCCTACGTGTTGTACTCAAGATTGTACCCTTAAAGGAGATCAGCACAGCGTAATGTTCTTTATAAAAGGAAACTGAGAGGTTGTTAGGCTTATTTTAAAATAAGTCTTCACACTTTGTGTAAAGGTTTGTCACTAAATGGGTGGTTTATTCACGTGTAGGTTTCAACTAAACGACATGTTGAACTTGAAACATTACCCTGGAAAGATTTGCAGTGGTAGGTATCTTTCCAGTGCTAAAACTACATAGCCCAAACTGTTCTGCTGAAACCTCACCCTGAGGTTGTAGCGTCTCCTCAGGGACTGACTGACAGAGTCAAGGCTCTGGAAGCTGGCCCCAAAGCAAGCTTCCCACTGCAGCAAGTGGGAGACTTGAATGGAAAATCTCTGCCCAGAAGGTGCCAATTTGATGGAGTAGGGGCAGGCGGAGACAACCATAAGCATGCACTTGAGGATTGCCTCCATGCAAGATGTTCTCCACTAGGAATATTGCTCCTTAATAACGAGAGATGGTTCACAAGGGAGTTCCAAAGTCTTGTGGAAAATGCTGTCTTACAACAATGGGGACATGTGTGTGCCGCTGCCCCATTTGAACTGGGGAGAAAGGGAGAGTTAAATGGAAAAAACCTTCCATTCAGACTGGAGCTGCCAACTGTCGTTACTGGTTGGCATTCTTAGCTGCCAGCATTTAGGAAAGTTGCTTCTTAGGGGATTACTTTTCTGCTTAGTTTGAAGTTCAATACCAGTTTGGTGCCTGTTGCAATACAGATGTCTCTGAAAGCTATGATGTATAACTACTCTAGCTGGCCTCCTGCTTGGCGTCCAGTGCTTGGCCTTTTGGCTCCATCAGGTTATTGCTTCAAGACACAACACAGGAGGACTTGGAGACTGTGCTGGGTGCTTGCCACAGTCCAAAGATCATGGGGTTAACAGCTAATAATGAAAAATGCAAGACAACACAAGGAGGATTCAGCTGATCAGGTAACAAAGGAGACAGTAACAAAAAAAATACTAAGAATTTTAGTTTCATATAGCAACAGTTCTTATGCGCTTTTGATCTGCAGACCTTCATAAATCTTCCAGTAGAGATATGGGGGTATAGGGGAATTTAATCTTGCAGCTCTGCTATTTTTCATGGATTTCTTAGTTTAAGATGGTGGGTTTCAGCCTGTGGTCTGTAGAGTATTTCTGTTGGTAACAATAGGTGTCTTTATTGAGTCTTCTAATCTGCTCAGCTGATGCTCTATCCTCTTTGCTTTCTGCCTTTTAATGTCTTTTCTTGCCTTTCTGAGTTGCAGATACTCTTTGGGATGGGGAAGGGGGTGCTTTTACCAATCTGTGCCTTGCAAAAGAAACAAAATCTATAAATACTTTGAACTGGAGCAGTCAGAACCTGTTTTTGCCAATGAGCTTGGTACATAATCTGTTATGAAACTGACATAAAGCACACTGTGCTTTTTCCTTTCCCTCCCAATACAGAAAATCTCAGTGTAGTACCTCTGCTCTTTCTCCTCTGAGTGAGATCAGCTGCGTCTGTCTTGCTTCAGCACAGCACTTAGCAGCAGTTGCATGAACAAACTCCTCAAGCACTGGATGTTAAACTAGCAATGACCTGTTATGCTTCAATAGATGCAAGTGAGATGATTGAGGAGGGGAGGAAAGATGCTTAAAGAAGCTCAGTCAATTCTGCTTCACTAGTAAGGCTTCAGCTTTAGATACATATCTGTTCCTCACAGCAGCGATGCTTGCATTTAGTCTCACTATTTCGTGATCATGCTGTATAGAAATCTGTGCAAAAACATTTCCTGCCTGGAAGTTGCCTGTTTTCCCCTCATTGACTCTGCCACCTTGAATCCCAAGGGTTGTGGAGACGGGAATTTGTCTTGAGGGTAAAGTAGTGGAAGCTAAAGTGGGCAGGATGAAGACAAATTGAGCTGTGCTTGTGAAGGGCAAGATGCACACTTTATTTCTCTGCGGGCAGCAATGCCAGGCTATTTTGTCACCCTGGTTTATAACTGCATTCAGACAGTAAAGCAGAAATTTTCTCTTCCCCCTCAAATGTTTGGCAGAAAGCTTGCTTTTGTCTAAAATGCTTCTTAAGCACTGCAAAACATTCAGTTCTAAACCAAATACCCGTTTCAGTTGTGCTTTTTCTTTCTAATTTACAAATAGGAGGGTTTGGTTTAGTTTCTTGTAATAGCCGCTGAAGCGAGGCAAGGAAAATACAAGGCGCCATCCCAAAAGATATTATCTGCTTTATTCTGGAGGGCTTTTAGCACAATGCAGTTTCTTTGTGTAAGAAATGGCAAAGATTGCTGTGCGATACCACACACGATACGTGTAATGTGTGTACCACGTGGATGGTATGTGGGAATGGTATCTTGTACAACATTTTGTGGTCAGCACGTACTTTCAGTGCCATGAGATGTGGAAAGAGATTTTAGGTTAGATTCTCAATTGGATCAAGTCTTAGGCATGAAACTTAACCTATTGTGGTGGGCTTTGAGTACTATCGGGATATGTCAAGGAAGGTATTTAGACGATGTAGTATGTGTTGGTCCTCTTCCCTAACTGAGAATAAAGCTATCTCTTTAGGTTGCTGTTTGGGACGTTACTACTGTTGTCTTCTTAAACCAGAACCATCTGAAGTCCCCAGCTGTGGCCACTGAGTACTTTGAGGTCCATATTATGTTCTAACCCACATACCTCTGTATTTGTGT